TACTGGAAAATAGCTATATTTTAATTTTACAAACAAAAAAAAAATACCATAATAATATACTCCTAGCCTAGACAGGGGTCTCCAAATACGCCCAAGGCCAAATCTGGCCCGCGAAATCTAATAATCCGCCGCGGGGGTTTCTTAAAATATTTTTTTTAAAATTTAAAGTAACAAATAACATACACATTAAATATTGTTATAATAACAGCCAATCTAGAATGCGTTGCCTATCATGCGCGTTGTATATAAAACATAATATGGCCATTATACAATCATTTCTAAATTACTATGAGGGAAATACGCTCTATATAAATCTGATGTGGACACACATGGATTCCTCATTCAGTTCTCACTTCGTGACGAGGCAAAAATAATAAATCAAACATCTTCAAACAAACAGGAGTGAAAATGTAAACAAAAATAGCGACTTTAGTCGCTTAGTAGCACTTAAACAACTTTTAAAATATTGATAATTCTACAACTATTGCATGCAGATTAAATAAAGTTAAAAACCTTAATTCCCTGAGTCACTTCGAAGCAAAATCGCCACAATCTACAAGCATATAAGACTAAAAAAAAACTCCCCGTCTCCGGTAACAGATTGGGTAGATATACATAGAGTTCTGATGCAGCCGATTGCAACAAAAAGGGAGGTGCGCAACTACATTATACATGTCCCATATACAAAATTTCAACGTTTTGAGGCCACTCGTTTTCGAGTTATGCGAGATACCTGCATACGTACGTACAGACATCACGAAAAAAATCTCTTCTGAATCCATTTTGAGAAAAAGATTCATTTATTCTGTCCGTACGAAACAGATGTCACGCCAAAAAAAAAAAAAGTTCAAATGGATTCGAGAGAGAGAGAGAGAGAGAGAGGTCAAAATGGATATTTTCGTTGACATATGATATCCGAAATTTTCGCAATTTACAATACTTCCCTTACTTTGTACAAGGAAGTAGAAAACTCTCATTGTACTCTTTACAAGAATAAAGGTTTCGTGTGTTATCTTTTCTAGTTCATAGTAGCATTCTAAGTTGCTTCATAGAAATTTTCAGTAGTGATTTTTTAAATCTTAATTTTTCTATATATGTTGTAATTTATTTAATTTCGAGATTTTTTTTTTTTTTTTACAAAAAAATTTGCTTATGGAACGAATGTTTGCAGCTGATCAAAATGTAAACAAAATGCGCTGATAAATCGATTGAAAAGCAAAGTACATACTAAACCGAAGAAATCTCTAATATTCTGGACAAAATTATTGAATTTAAACGCGGATTTTTGTAAATGGGAATTAAAAAAAGATTTCATGACACAATCTCCTTTATTTCTGTAATATGCCTGTGCTCTTCTTTTCGAAGTTTCAAAGAAATTATTGGCCTAGGAGAAAGTAACACATACAACATCAAACAAAGAAATTGAAATTTGTATAGTCATAACCTAGGAAAAAGTAATACATATTACATAAAATACAGAAGTTATTCAACGTAAAACACACATATCTTCTAAAATCTCCTTTGTGGGTTTATATTTCGATTATTAGTAGAGGATACAGGAATAAAGTAATTTGACTGATATTTAGCATATAACGACAACACATCACACCTTAATGCTCTAAGACCTTCAATAGTTGCAACATTCTTTGATAAATTCTCAAACAATTTCATTGTTTCCTGTCTAATACTTTCGCAACTTTCAGCATTTTGTTCACTCGTTATTTCATTAACTATCGCCGAACGTTCTTCGGCATGCCTGGAATCCCTCTCAGTCACATCAATTACCAAATTATCTGAATGAAACTCATCATTTTCTGACACACCAGATCTCTGAACTTCAGTTACCTGGTTTTGACATACGTGATGAATATGCTTACAAATACTGAAACGGATACTATAATCAATACAAGTACAGGAGAATGCATGAATACAAATATTACAGTCATCACACCTTATGCTACATGCACAAGGATCATGAATCCGAACATCATAAAATGTAATTTCTCTTGAAATAACAGCCTTCGAAACTGACCACTGTTTCTTAGGCTCGATTTCAATTACCTGATATTCAGGCATACTCATACTCTGTCTGTGTCGCTTACGAATTTCTGTGACCCTAGTTGTCAATTTATGACGTTCTAAAGATATTGCACGATTCATCAGTTTCCTTGCAATAGCATTTAACACCAAAGATAAAGAATAATCTAGTCTCTTTATCACCTTTGCGTTACCATGTTCATACTTAAGCTGCTTGTGCCACCTTTCAACTTTCATATTTGTATTAACCCCTAATCCAATTCGATAGCAATAGGCCCATTTCTCAGGCTGAGACATATAATTTTTGTAGAAATATTCTCCAAAAGCTTTTGTTTCTTCATTAGACAAACAGCTGGTGACAAAGATATCCGAAATTCTTTTGAAAGACACTATGTCAATTTCGTGCATTATTTGCACTAACTCATTTGCAATTTTTAACCTTAAGTCACTGTTTTTTATTTTAGATAAGTTTTTATTCCATGCTCTGCGAACATGCCAGCTACACAAAAGACACTTATCAACTTAACCAAAAACTTGACACCATGCATTATAAAATGCCGGAGCATCGTCTGACATGAAAACCTTAGGTTTAAGATTAGGAACTCTATCTTTAATAGCTGAAAAAAATGGTATAAAAGTTTGTGCTGTTATTTTTGATGAATACAAAATAGCAACAGGAAAACCTTCATGATTATCATCATTGACAAGTACAGAAGTTAATTGAAATCCATACTGATTCATACCATGAGTAGAGTCTATCATAATACAGCTGCTGTTTAATTCCAGCAACCTAAGTTGGGCACCATTCATAACCCCTAAAAGGAAATCATCCCTTGATACACCTTGAAAACCTGGCAGTTCGTCACCAACTTTCTTGTACAACAAAATTGGACAACCAGATTCAGCTTTCATTTTCTGGACTTTTAAGTCCACCGATACTGCATCATTAGTGTCAAAAACAATTTCATTATTTACCTGAATACCTCTAGAAATATTTTGTAAATCTTTTAAGTGAGTAACACCAATTCTTTTTGTTGGTGAATAACTACTTTGAATGGACATTAAAATCTTTTCTTTTGGAATACCTTGCTGCATCATACCTGCTAATTTAGATTTTTCAGTTTTTGAGAGCGGCAATTTCCCAACTTCATGCCTATGACCAACATGCACTGATTGGTAACTAACTTTAATTTCAAAAATATCCCCGATCTCTTTCTCTGACACTTTTATTTCAGCAGGACATGTTTTCCCTATTTTAATTGAACCTCCACATTTCATGTGACGTATTCTGTCAGTTTTTATTTTACATGAACCACTTCTATTACATAAGAAATAACTACGAATTGTCCCATCTGCCAAACGTTTAGTCGTTCGTTTGGCAAAAAAGGACTGACTACTTTTTTCAACATCTTCTTTCCAATTTTCGAATTCAGATTTAGAATGAAAAATAAGTTCCTGAAAATTTAACCTTATATCTGTATGGACAGAATCTATGTGGTCATGCAACTCTTTCATAGAAGTAAACCTTTCATTACACAGAGTACAATCTCTTTCATTATAAGTTTCCAACTTATGTTCAGAATGAAAATTTCTTATGTGTCTATATAAATTACTTTTAACAGAAAATGAGCAGTCACAAGAAGCACAACAAAACCTAGAACTTATCGATGACATATTAGTATATAAAATATTCTTAGTGTTATTAGTTTAACAACATAAGAACTCTGTAGTTATCAGAAAAATACAAATGGCAATCTAAATAGGAACACTTGAAAAAACAGTAATATTTAGATGATTTTTAAATTGCATCAATACACAGAGTCATTATCATGGTGTGTATATATAAATATGCTGTAAATAGCAGCTGTATAACTTAGCGCATAATATTCATAACAAAAAAACCAAAATTATTGTACGAAAATATATATATCAATAATGCTGTATTTAAAATCAACCAAGCATAAGAAACAGCTTTTGCAAAAAAAAAAAAAAAAAAAAAAAAAAAAAAAAATACTTTTCAGTTTCTTCTGTACCTATGAAAAATAAAAATTGGTACTCGAAGTAAGTATTCCCAAACCAGAGTTTTTACATAGAAAAAAAGGTAATTAATGGAAATGTTTGTTACCCAAAAAGTAAAAAATCAAACTTTAATAACGCCCAGTAATTAATTAAGGATAAAAACAGTGCTGAATATATATGCCTTATTACTTCTGAAATAATAATCAAGTTAAATCTGAAAGGAAAACCTGAAAAAATTTACTTGTAAAACCTGAAAAGAATATTGTAAAATCTTAAATTAGCTCACAGATAAGCAAAAGATATAGTAAATAACTTGTAAATTTGAAAAAAATAATAACTTGTAAAATCTGAAAAAAAAAAAAAAATTAACTTGTCAAACCTGAAAAAAATAACTCGTAAATTCTGAAAAGAATATTGTAAAATTTTAAATAACAGCTAAAAGAATATTGTAAAATATTAAATAAGAGCTACAAAAATAAGCAGAGAAAAAAAGCTTTACTTGAAGCGCACACCGCAAAATCTGAAAGGAAAACCTGAAAAAAAAAATTAACTTGTCAAACCTGAAAAAAATAACTCGTAAATTCTGAAAAGAAAAGTGTAAAATTTTAAATAACAGCTAAAAGAATATTGTAAAATATTAAATAAGAGCTACAAAAATAAGCAGAGCAAAAGTGCTTTACTTTTGAAGCGCACACCGCAACAGTCAAGAGCAAGAATGAATACCACACTCTCTGCCGGTTTCCCCTCGCCACGATCAACCTTCCACACCCGCTGTTTCAAGTGGACTTTACCAGGCGGCAAAGATCAAAAGGATCTGGTTGGGATTTGAGATTGGAGTGCGAACTGGTCTCGGAGATTAAGAATATTTTTTCTCCCCGTAAGTGCCACTTTCATGGCGGTCGCGTTCGCGCCCTCCTTATCCGCCGCCAGAACCTGCCCATCGCGGCCCTTTGTAAGGCAACAACAGATTTGGAAATGCGTGAAATGTCATCGTGTACGAGCTAAAACATCTACCCAGATAATGTCTGATTTACCATCGTCTAGAGTCGTTCCGTCAAAGGTTTTTCTCCAAAGTTGGAATTGACTACGCCGGGGACATTTCAAGTGAAGCCCAGGCAAGGTCGAGGAGTAAACCAATGAAATGCTACATTTGTGTATTTGTGTGTTTTACTACAAGAGCTATACATATTGAATTAGTAGATAATCTAACATCAGAATCATTTATTGCCGCTTTGAAGCGCTTTGTATCTCGAAGAGGAAAACCAATGGAAGTTTTTCCTAGCTCAGATAATATTGTGCGTATCGTGAAGATCAAAACTGCTAATGGAGTTTTCAAAAGGCCAATTCACAAACTTAGTGTTTTGCCTATCAATGATTAAGTTGTTTTTTCCCTAAAGCATTATAACATTGTACTTTGCTTTAACTATAATTAAGTTCCTGAATTGTATCAAGGCTTCTGTACATCTGTTTTGAGAATAATTTAGTTTCATTTCGTAATTTCATATTATGTTTTCTTGTGAATATTTTAATGATACACTTTTGCATAATTTAATATTGTAATGATAACTTCATTTTGTAAAAGCTATTTAGTTTGAAACCATGTTTCAACGCCGGGCGGAATGTTTCGGCCACCAGAGCTCTCTGCCTGTCTGTGAGATATTATTTCGCAATGCGCTGATTGTATGCGCAGCTCGCATTTTGTTCTTGCATTCTTGCAAACGCTATTTGTAACTCTCTCGTGTTACTTTGTGCTGTGTGTTGTGTTCGAAAGTTTTTTTTTTTTTTTTTTTCGAAACATTTTTTCATGTCCTTACTCTAATTACTAGATTTAAGTAATTGATGTACAATTTTTTGTATTATGAGTACGTTGTATGCTTTATATAACTATAGAGAAAAATGTAAAGATGTCAATGAAGAAAGTCATACTCATAAAAGAGGCCATTATAAGAAAAAGGTTAGAATTCCTGCTGCAGATCTGAATTTTCATTCTTATTTAGTCTTACTATTTTTCTTGAATGAGACTGTTGTTGGAACTCAGTCAACGTTCTGGGCGTAAAATTTAAAGTTTGTTTAAATCAATTTCTTACACTATGACGAGCATCATTTAAAACAGAAAATTGTATTCATATAATTAAGATAATTACAATTAGGACTTTTAATTAAAATTAAAAACATAAATAGATAAATAAATACAGTTACCAGTATATAGAGTATGCTACTAGTAAGATTCACAGTAAATGCACACTGCAACTGAGAAGATATATTTATTTTTAAAAAGTTTAAATTATATTTTTCCAGTTACAGATCTTTAAAAACTTTACTTCTTAAATAGCTGCAGTATCCAGCTTTACCGGATATTGGACTATATAATATTTTAAAAGTTATTTGCTTCAAACTGTTATTATTTTCCTCCAACTGCAATAATTTGCCATTTGATGCCGTATCTTTTAGCAACTAATGTACTTTGGTTATTTGTTAATACAATTCTTTTGCAGTATTTGTTCCTGATGGCTGTAACGTATCCGTGTGACTTGGGATTTGTTTTTGCAATAGACGCAATGTATCCCATTTGAACAACTCCAAAAATATATTAATACGCTTGAATTTATAGAAGCGCCATTTTTGCATTCTGCCGAGCCAGGGATGTATTTTATTTGATCATATCTTTATCAAATAATAGCTTACACACCTTTTTACAATCCAGCCATATTCTTCCCACCATCATATACTTAACCTCGTACACTTTGAATCACAAGGCCATCTTTATTGAAAATGCACGGAAATTCGTTTGTAACTAAAAAATTTTTCTCGTGTTTCGATAAAATCTGTAATGCTTTCTTCAGCAGTTGCGAACTTTTTGTATGCACGTATTTACTAATTGATGATGATGAGATGATACGAAATACTTGGTGTATAATCAAATTTAAAAGAAAAATATAATACTTCTTTGAATCTAGAAAAAGTTTCAAATCGAACATGACTACTTCATGTCGACCATAGTAACGTTTCTCTAAACTGTAGAATTATATCAAATATAAACTAACCTTAATTTACTGTGGATTTCAACATCGATGCCAAATTAATTGGGTTTTGTTTTGGGGGGGGGCTTATTTTGAATAAGAACTAAGGTTAAAAAAAGAAGTAGTTTATCAGATTAAACGTGGCTACGGCAAAACTGAACGCCATATCATACATCTCATTCAATGGCAAATTTTACACATAAAAATGAAGTAAAGACTGATAATTCAGCACATTTCATTTTGAAGCAGCTATGTTTAGTCTCCCAATGGTATTTACATTGGGCTTTATGTGTTAGGTCTGCAGCCTAACACCTAAACCTAATTCATAAAGCATGCGTCTCCGTCCATACTCATCTAGTGGTCTGTTAG